CAATGCCACGTTAAGAAATGTCTGGAGTCGTCTATAGGATCAGGTGTAGACTTCTGGCAGACTTCTCAAGACGTGAATTGCCGAACACACGGCAGCAGTGCGGCGAAATAATGTCAATTCTCAAGTTGCGGCTCATTCGGCGAGACCCGGCCACACATTCAACTTCGATGAGGACGAAATTCTCGCAAGAGGTGCTAATCGTGTGAGCCGAGAGTTACTTGAGACACGGTTAACGGGCCCCCAGCTCATAAAAAAGTGCAAAGACTTGCCCAAGCTATATTCGGTGCAGAGGCTGAATATGGCCGAAGCAAGTCACTACTTGGGGAACGCACAGGACACCGTGACGTCTTACGCCAATACCGGAGGACCAGATGGTCGAGCAATCATCACGCCCAATTCCACAATGCGTGATGCAAGTTCAGTCGGTCACGGCCCGCATGATGGTCAGCAAACGAGTAATGGAAAAGAGGGCATTTATCCTCAATTATCGTTGTCACAAGTGTGCAGTTATGACTGTATCCATAAACACTGCAACTTCCTGTGCATGTATCACCCGATTCTGCTACGGTTTTCTGCTTATGTCTCTGATGATGAATCCGTGACGGATGTCCAAACGTCAGGCGAATCAAAGTGTTGTCTCAGTTATTGACTCTTATTTTTCTCTTCTTTCATTTTTACTGGCTAGGTGAACTCGCTGTTGATCTGTACAAAATTAAGTTTCGGAACATTTGACCATCAGCGTGGTACATACTACGCAGTGCAACATTCATATGGGCAAATTGTAAGAGGCCGTGTCTTTGGGAATTAGGATATAATCTGCCGGCAATGCTATCTACTAAGTGCAGTACAGACAAGGGAGACTAGAATGGCCATTTCTAGCTTATTAGCCATCGTCAGCCATTGCCATCCCAAGTGGTGCACCACTCAAGGCTCTAACTCGCGACTTTTCTGATCAGAAGTCCAACGCTCTAAAAATTGTGTCACGAGCTCGTTGTGTTGCCGGTTCAGATCGGGAGATATTGACGCTTGTTGATGAACGTTC